TCTTATTTCATATATAGTTGGCTCTACTGGCTTACCAGTTGCTGAACATTTTCCACATTGTTGCTAAATAGCTGTTTTCTGTTTCTCTCTGAAAACACAGAAGAAAATAAGGACAGTCAGGAAAACCCCCTCCAATTGTCAGGAGAATTAGGAACAATGAGTTATATAAAAATAAATCTACCTGTACCAGCTAAAAAGGTGTCTCCAAGACAGATTCATGGAAGATATAGTCATGTATAAAAACTGTGAATTTACCTAATACTAAATCCTGGACCAGAAAACAAAAGGTTGTTTTTTTTTTTGGGGGGGGGGGGGTATACAATAATGGTAGCAAAGGTTTGAACAGGTTTAGCCCGTGAACAAAAGAAACACAATAGCATAGAAATAAGTATGAAAACATGAGTAAAAAATAAATTTAGAGGGGTTTCTGAGGGAAAACAGAGCTGTCAGCATAATCCTTTGCTGATCTAGGGTTGACACTTCTGCTTACTTTAGCACAGTGGGGCTCCACTCCCAACTGTGCCATTTAGTCATTAACCATCACAATGTCTGGCACATTCACATTATTTAAATCAATTCTCTTTCCCTGGACTTGGGAAAATATTTAACATGGCAGCAATTCAGAAGCAGGACAGGGAAATAAGCAGCACTGAAAGGGTGAATTTCTTCATAAGCTGTAAAGTCTGTAAATCCCTGTTCTCTTCTCCTGACAGCTGTCAAAGGAATATGGCCCAGTCTTCAGTGTTCAGATGGGGCACAGGAAAGTAGTTGTGATTTCTGGGTATGAGACAGTGAAGGAAGCTCTTGTAAACCAGGCAGATGCATTTGCAGAGAGACCTAAAATCCCAGTCTTTGAAGATTTGACCAAAGGAAATGGTAAGTTGGTTTTATTTTTCCTTTGTCAGCTTGGCTTGTTCAACTTTTTTTCCTTCCTGTAGACAAAGCAGGAGCTGGGATATCACTTTGGATCAGAGGCCACACAAGGCATTGGAAATAGGGAGCAATCTCATTGACTTCAGTGGATTTATTCAAAGTTGAAACTACTGACAGTGACAACAAACCAGCCACAACTCTAAAAATAACCACAGCAACAGATAGTGGATATTGTGACAATTTCAGGGTCTAGAACAGGGCATCCAGGACATAGAAGCATTTCTAGCTCTCATGACATGGCTCTGGACTTGTGGTTTTTCTGAATATGGTAATAGAATGGAATACAAACAGAATTGGGGATCTATTTTAAAAGGGGACATACCGTATACTGAGCTGGGTTTCAAAATGGGAATTTCATACCGAAGCTTCATTCTAATTTAGCATGAGAGTTTCATATTTACATCTCCAAAAATTACACCCTTGGGCAAAGTCAGGAATAATTCTGTGCACATTTTAACAGCTGTATTTTTTGAACATATTATGAACTTAAGCTTTCTTTTCACTTTATTTTTTTCTTTGGAGAAAAAATATAGCTGAAGTCATTAGTTATATTGGTGTAAAAATTTCAGTATAAAGAAAAACCTGATTGTGGAGGTTTTAAGATACTACCTGAATTTTAAAGACATTTGTGCCTTGTCAGTTTTGTCCAGAAATCATCAGACACATGAGATCTCAGTTCAATTCCACTTCCAAACTATGATGATCAGTGGTTTGAACTTGAATTTCCAATGCCATCTTTCTTTCAGTGGCAAGTGTCTCTTGGGATATATACTCTTCTTAAGATTTGATTAGCTACATCTTAAATAGTTATCTTTTTTTTTGTGCAACAAAACTATTGTTGAGGACAACAATACTTAAGGCAAAGTTGTGTTTTGACTCAGCCAGAGTAATTTAGTTTTTAAAAGTGGCTACTACTAAACAGCTCCATTCTCTGTCTAGAAAAATCAGTTATTTCTAATCTTCTGCTACCTTGAAATGTTCTCTTCGTGTCAGGGGTTGTTTTTGCCCATGGTGAAAACTGGAAGGTGATGCGAAGATTTACTCTCACAACCTTACGAGACTTTGGGATGGGGAAAAGGGCCATTGAGGATCGAATTGTGGAGGAATACGGGTACCTGGGAGACACCATCGCCTCACAACAAGGTGGGTGGGTGATTCATTCTTCAAACCTGTAGAAACACGGAATCATGGAACGGTTTGGGTTGAAAGGGACCTTAAGGATCATCTCATTTACCTTCCTGCCATGGGCAGGGACACCTCCCACTATCCCAGGCTGCTCCAACCCAGCCTTGAACACTTCCAGGGGTGGGGCAGCCACAGCTTCTCTGGGAAATCTCTTCCAGTGCCACCTCTAAGGTTTTGCTCAAGGACCCAGAGTCCTTCTGAACCTTCTGAAGTTCAGATCTTTTTAAGAAATGTACTACAGGCTGAATGAATTTGACGGATTTGGCTCCTCTGGCATTTTTGTGTCATTGCATGGTATTCTGGCATTGAATGATGATCAATAACGGCAATCAATCATAGGAAATAAATAGCAATAATTAGTAATAAATTTACATTTACAAATTACATCTCTTGCCACAACATAACACATTCTTTTGTTCATTGTATAGGAAAGCCCTTTGACGCCAGTAAAATAATTAATGCAGCAGTTGCCAACATAATTGTGTCAATATTACTTGGAAAACGATTTGACTACGAAGACTCCAGATTTGTGAGACTTCTAAATCTGACCAATGAAAGCGTGAGGCTTGCTGGGAAACCTTTGGTCACGGTAATGATAAACATACTTATGTTTCTTTTCCACTGGATTCCATGGGAAAGTAGCAAAACTGGTAGTGAGTGTCTTCTGTTAAACAGGCAAATCTAAGACTTTGGGAGATAATAGGTTTACAGAGCAATTTCTTGTGCAAAACAAAGCTTGGGAGACAGTCTGGAAATCTTGAAGCCAACAATCAAACTCCCAGTCTCTCAAAAACAGACTTAAACTATAGTTTGAAGAGTGCTAAGGAGTAATAAATATTCTCTGGTACTTGCATGCAATGCTGCCTCACACCAGATTAATTTCTGTTCCTTTAGGTTTTGAAAAATAAGAGAGTTAGTGGTAAAGCTAGTTAAAACAGGAAAAAAAGTTGCTGGACAATATTTCCATCTCCATGGTGGTAACTTGCAGCTGTTTGAGTCTGACATCAACACTACTCCTGCAAAATAATAATTTGGGGCTGAGAATTTTCCTCGTATTCGGTGGTCCCTGATGGATTATCTACCATGAATTAGTTTTTCGTGTTCTAAAGAACAAAATATTAATGTTAAGTTTTTGTCTTTGTATCTGCAAAATGGGGCACAATATCACTACTTTGTTTCTGTAGTGTTTTCAGACCTCTGTCTGGTAAATTCTAACAACTTCCACTCTTGTAGATGTACAACATCTTCCCATACCTTGGATTCCTGCTAAGGGCTAACAAGACTCTTCTCCAAAACAGAGATGAATTCCATGATTATGTAAAAGTTACTTTTGTAGAACATCTCAAAAACCTGGACAAAAATGACCAAAGAAGCTTTATCGATGCTTTCCTGGTTAAGCAGCAGGAGGTAACTGAAATTTTTCTCATTCATTCCAACTGTTATGGTTCTATGAAGACACAACTTCCTTCCAGTCCTTATAATTACAGCTAAATTCCTTTAGGAAATCTATCTTCAACAAAACACATATAACAAAGTGGTAGAGTTGAACAGATACTTCACTCTGTTGCAGTTCCAACCCCTTTTATTCAGCAAACATTTATTCTTATTTATTTCCTTCAGACTGTATCAATATATTTACAAAGGCTGCATCTTCTTTTAATCTGCTTTCTCTGTTGTCCCAGACTTTCTGGCTCTTTCAAGAACATAACTCATCACAGAATAAAATCACTACCTGGGCTTTACTGGGACTCTTATTTGGGGTCTCTAATATATCTGGGTTACCTTCTCCATAGAGAAAGCAGCTCCCTTTGCAGCTAGCCCCAGTAAATACAGAGATCAAGCAGAATATAAAACCTATTATTCTCCAGGTACAAGCCCAAAGCTCTTCTTTGCCTTTCATACTCATTTTAAAATACAGTATTTACTTCTTAGTAAATGTTTTTCTACATAAATTGCATTCTCACATGGAAAGCTTTAAGTTTTCATCCTTTTATCTCAACCACTTTTTTC